CCCAAACTTCAACTTCATCATAAACACATACTGGGCTGATTAAAGAGCAGAGTGCTTCTCTTTCTTACTGTGTGATAATTCGTAATAATCCATCACCACGTTATGGGCTGAATTGTCGCCCCCTCCCAAATTTGTATGTTGAAATCCTACACTCCAGTAGCACAGAATGTGACCTTACCTGATGACAGAATTTTTAGAGGTAATCCAGTTAAATGAGGTCATGAGAGCGGGCCCTAATACAGTGTGACCAGTGTCCTTATAAATAGGGGAAATTTGGATACGAAGACACACGCAAAAGGGAAGGTGATGTGAAGAGACATAGGGACGAGATGGCCATGTGCAAGCCAAGGAGCGAGATCCCCCCCTCACAGCCCCCAGAACGGAGTAACCCTGATACTCTGGACTTCTGGTCACCAGAGCTGAGAGACAATAAATTGGTGTTGTTTAAGCCCCTAAGTTTATAACATTTTGCTATGACAGCCCTAGGAAACTAATAACGATGTTATATAATAATCATTGCTTTTCACACTTAAAATGCACATTACCTGCATAAAATACTTCACCCATCCTGCCGTGGCTGGTCACGTGGAATCAACCCAAGTTCCTCTGAGATCCTAAGTTCCATAGGACAGGTCTTAGGAATAGATAACTATGTAGCCACAGCCCCTGATCGAACCATCAAGTTTGTTTGATTATAGTCCTTAGTCCACTTAACCCACTATTAGTACAGTCTTTAATAAAGGCTTTGATAAGACTAACTGTAAAGAGGATGTTGAATATCAGTGGTTTAATGTAAATCACCACCTGCTTGGGGGAAAGGAAGTATGGACAACTTGTACCTGGGCTGCTCCCAACCCACACACAGGCACCTATGAAAAGACGGAGAGCAGGCTGGCTTTGGCCATTTACCACGTACTTGTAAATGTGAATTCTGTGCAGTAGCAGATCTTGGGGGCTGGGATGTGGCTATTTTAATGCAAAATTAATTGTCAACTAGAAGATGACTTGGTCTTCTCCCTAGTGGTTACCTTCCCCTCCTGCTAGTTGCCTTCACTCTGGTCCTCGTGGCTGAATCTCGTTAGTCATATTCAAATTATCGTAAATGATTTCAGTATCTCAAAAGCAAACACACCTCTCCTGCTCAGCTTGTCCCCACTTTTTAAGTTGTCCTTATTTCCACAATAGGAAGGACGTCTTTTCTAAAATTTGTTATTTTTCACTTTGTCATTGCCATAATCATATCACACGTGTACACATTTGACAGGTGCTTCAATTTGACTGAATTCTGAGTGTAACATTAAAAATTGTACCTATAATGTCATATCAAGAAAGTGTGCTGTATCTTTGATATTTCATGAAATCTCTACGTACAAAGATTTCATATTCCGAATAGCATCCCGAAGTATAAATTAAAGGCAGGAAGATGTAAAAGATATTCCTAGAGATTACCGTTGCTTCTCTCTGGATGAGCTCTGCATGTGCCGAGCAAGGAGGCAGCTGTCACGCTCCCATAAACCCATGGCTTTCACACGACCTTTCACTGAAGGTACAGACAACTTATCAAAAAAAAAAAAAAAAACCCAAATGCTTTCATTCATAGGATATACAGGATGTTTTATATTCCTAGGGCGGCCGTGACGAAGTGCCACAAACTGGGTGGCTTGAAACAACCAGACACTTTTTCTTTCACAGTACTGGAGGCTAGAAGCCTGACGATGCCGGCGAGGTTGCAATCCCTCTGCAGCCTGCAGAGGGACCCTTCCTTGCCTCTCCCAGCTTCCCGGGGCTTGCTGACAGTCTTTCCTGTTCCTTGGTTTGAGGCCGTATAATGTCAATCTCTGACTTTGTCACGTGGCCTCCCTGTGTGTCTGTCTTCACATGGCGGTCTTCTTATAAGGACGGGGTCCAGCATGACTTCATTTTAATTACATCTGCAACAATCCTTTTTCCAAATAAAGACAAATTCAGAGGCACTGGGGGTTAGTACGTGTGTGTGTGTGTGTGTGTGTGTATTTTTGGGGGGTGGGGTGGACAATTCAACCCATAACAAGGGAATAAGGTAAATGTCACACATTTAAGTTTTTAGGGCAACTCAAAAGGTAGCATTTTTGTTTAATGGAGACAAAATCATATTTACAAGAAAGTGCATAAAACATATATGCATAGTTTAAAGAATTATAATGCGAATAACCATGTAACCCCCGTTCAGGTCGAAAAACCGAACATTGCTGCTACCAGAGAAGCCCCTGTGTGCCCCTTCATCAAATCCCTCCCCCAGGACCAGCCAGCATC